TTTGCTCCATGGGTCAGCAATGATCACTATAGCCACCTCACTATGTGGGCTAAGAAGCCCACCTCACCTCCTCATACTGGCCTCCTGGTTCTGCTGCTTCTGCTGCCACCATTTCCCTCCTACTGATTCTCATTGTCTCTTGCCATCTCCAGTGTTACTGCTCTGCTAGCGTTAGCACGCACACGTGCACACACGTGCACTCTCTCTCTCTCCCTCTCTCTCTCCCTCTCTCTCTCTCTGTCTGTCTCTGAGGTCTAGGAAGTTCTCAGTACAGGGATTCAGAGTTCAAGGGATGTGCTCCAATCCTAGCTTTTTATCTTGGTGGTAGTGAAGTCTCCCCTTTCTGCCTCTGGGATGGCACATTTTAAGCCTAGTGGGATGGCAAAACTGACTAATCACCTGTTAATGTTCCATATTACCTTATCTGCATGATCTCACCCCCACAAGGGTGCCAAGTACCTTACTTACATTATTAGCAAGCTATCCAATCCATTTGGTGGGTCACAAGCACCTTAATGTACATAGTCCCACCCAATCACCCAATCATTTGGTGGGAGATACAAGACTACAGTAAGAAAGGCCATATAAAAGTGATCCATCTCACTACAGGCCATCCCTGCCTTTTCTAGCCATGCATCTTTCATACTTAGAGGATAACTTCCCCCTCCCAATCATTTTACCAGTCCAAATCGGTCATTAACAATTAGTCTTTCAGTAGAGCAAAGAGTCCTCAGAGTGCCGTTACATAGATACCTGCCACTCAGGTCTGCAGATATTCATCTGATCTGATCAGGTTATCCAAAAGGCATTTCAGCTTCACCCTTTCTGGCATCCAACAAATTTTAACTTAGAGAAGGTTATTGCCTTGCCCTGAGCCTCAAAAAACATCAGCACAGCAAAACCTTTAAGGGACTTTAGGTTTGGCCACTGTAATCCAGTCCCACAGTGCCTCCCCCTTAGTCCACTCTTTTCACAGTTATGGCTTCTAAATCACAATTAACCTCGTTAACAAATCAACACTCACAACTGAATCATATAATCCTATTAGTATCTTCCCCACTCTTTCTTCCCCAGACCTATTCAGTTAGGATCCTCCCTGGTGCCCCCTCATGTTGGCGTACACCACCAAAGCATGTAAGCCAGCCACTTCATGCCTTTACCGCCTTCCATTTTAAATTTTAAAAAAACCACTCACTGCCCTCAAGCAGGATCTGACTCATAGGACCCCTCCTTGAAATCTGCATCCATAAGCAAAATCCAGTCCAGAGCAAGCCATCAAATTCTAGCAATTTACACCAGCTCAAAATGGAAATCATGGAAAGAAACAAAATCCTTGGGTGATGCAACAGTTAATGCACTTGGCTGCTAACTAAAAGAGGCCCCGAAAGGAAGGCCTGATGATCTACTTCTGAAAAATCAGCCATTGAAAACCACCCTATGGAGCAAAGTTCTTCTCTGATACACATGAGGTTTCCATGAGCCAGAATCAACTCGACAGACAAGTGACTCTTTTTTTAAAATGAATTGTTATTTTTATGAATTTCGTGATGCTTGTGTTATTTGTTAACTTCTTAAAATTCATATTCTTGTGATTTTTTTACTATAACTAAATAGTAACTTTTGTATCTTATTTTGAATTCATAATTTTGTATTTTTTTCTTAAAGTTTTTTTCTACATTAACAAACCTGAAACTGCCCCTGCAGAATTAAAAAAGCATGGTTTTCTAAGAACTTTTGTTCACATATCACATAAGAGAAAGAAACGGTTAACATCCATGTCAATGAATACTAGTATTTTGGAGGTGGTTGGAATGGGGCTGCTTTAGCCCAAGGTGCTCCTTTGGCCTGCAAGCAGTGCAGGTAGTTGAGATTAGAAGAAATGTGATGATTCCCAGAGACACTGAAAGAATGGTATAGGGGCAAGACAAAGGAGGGAGAAAGAACAGGGGAACCACTTTGGAGAACGCAGCACTTTAGGGGAGGGAGGCCTAGACAGGAGCTTTTGTGGATATTTCATGGACAGGACAAAGGGAGCCAGGCAAAAGGGAAGTGGTAGCAAATGGTCTAGGGCTGCTATGACCTGAACCAATGTCTGAATGATCAAGGGCAGCTGATATTTGATCTTTTGAGAGGTCTACACCACCCACACCCCAAACCCATGCCCACTAACTTTCAGCACGTATACAGGCTCTGGAATGCTGAGAGTAGCAAAGACAGCAGAACCCAAGTACCAGCTTGGGTACTGGTAAGGAGTAGGCATTTGGAGCACAAGGCCATGCAGACTGTGTCAAACACTTTTAGCTACAGTGGGTTCAAAAAATGACCACCATGAACCACCTTTTCTCGCTCACTGGGCTACCTGGCTGGAGCTCATATTTTCTCTAACTTGCACCCTGATTACAAGAGCATTATTAAAACAACTGTCCCTTTAATCCAGGTTACAACGCCCTTGCATGACTTCTGTCTTCCTCAGCCACAGACCATTCTCTCACCTACTGCCCAGCAGGCAGGAAGCATCAGCATAATGCTGAAGACAGCCCCAGAGCCATGGGCTTCCTGACTAGACTCCTAATGGCAGAATCTTTAGTCCATTCCCTCCTTCTTCTTCTTTTTTTGTTGTTGGCAAGTTGCAAACACATAAAATGTCTCTTAAATAAGTTAAAATTTATAAGACATTTATAACTGTGCCTGCCATGGCACAAACTCAATCTGAGTTTGTTAAGTAAAACCAGTATTAAACCCTTCTGTTTCTTCAAGTATCTAAATTTGAAAAGCCACAGACAACCATAACTTAGCTCACCCATGTTTACACAGTAGCTTCTGAATCCTGAGCTGGCTTCTCCTCAAAGCCTCAAGGAAGAAAAGTTTTATGGTGGGATCTAAAGTTCCTAAACATCCTGATGATGCTCTTTTTGGACAGGAAGTGAGGTGGGAGGGAGGAAGTGAGAGCAGAGCTTCACCAGACAAAGGAGGGAGCTGCTTTCCAGGAAGAACTCTGCCTGCAGCTATCTTGTCTGACTGACTCCCTTGGAGGCCTGGGTCCTTTCTTTCCTCAGGGCAGGAAGGTAATGAAGGCAAAGGGTAAAGTTTCAAAACAGTCCTTTATAAATCCTGCGGTCTTTAGAGCCCAAGTCTTTGATCCTTAAAACAAAGAGGGCCCTTCTGTGTTGAAGGTTAACCTTTAAAAGGTACCATAGGAGTCAAGGAGCCTCTAGAGGTGCAAACAGCTAAAATGCTCAGATGCTAATCAAAAGGTTGGAGGTTAGAGTCCACCCAGTGGCACCTGGGAAGAAAAAAATACAAAACAAAACCTAAGGGCACTGAGTCAATTCTGACTCACAGAGACCCTTTAGGACAGAGTAGAACTGCCTCATAGTCTCCAGGGCTATAAATCTTTACAAGGAGCAACTGGTGGGTTGGACTCAACAACCTTTTGGTTAGCAGCAGAATGCTTTAACCACTGCACCACCAAAGCTTCTTTGGAAAGAAAGGCCTGGGGATCTACCTCTGAAAAATCAGCAAATGAAACCCTGTACAGCAGTTTTACTTTGGCACACATGGGATTGTCATGAGTCAGGGTCCACTCCACAACCACTGGTTTTAGAGAGGGCACCTCAAGGAAAAGCACTATCTACTTTGTGTGTGACGACACACTGCAGAGTTAAGATTGGTTAACAACCTGATTTTAACATGTAGGGAAAATCTGTATAGCATTTTCAGAATGTTAACCTGAAAAAAAAAAAATGCTGTTTGGATATAAAAAACAGTCAATCTGCCCACACCACTCCTTCTGGCCAATCATGTACCTAAACAAACAAGCGAAAAACAGAGGAAGCCATCTATCAACCCAACCCTGCCCCTGACACACCTAGGAGGACCAGTATTCATCCATACACTGCACAAATACTTTCTGGTAGCTACTATGAGTTAGGCACTGGTCTGGGTACTGAGCAAAATGCAGGGAACAAAACACAAAAAACGAAAATGAGAAAACAGTGGAGCAGCAATCCACTTCTAACTGTAATCTTTGGTTTTCTTTAGTCCTGTTACTTGGTGTTCATCCGTCGATCAGGGAAACAAGTTCCCATGGAGCGCTCTGTACTAATCACTGTATGGACTCAGAGTAAGCTGCCAGATCTCCACGCGGCTGGGGAGTAAACCTGGTGACACACTCATGGTCCAGTCACTGGATCCATCACAGTTCCTTCAAATCAAATAGAGGTTGTATTTCTAGCCTTGGAGGGATTTTTAAAGTCCTAGACTGATTTGCATGGCTAATATATTCTGACTTACTCTCTACAATTCAAGGTCAAGTAACCTGCAGTTAGCCATTCAACTGCCAAAGGCAAAAGGCCATGTCTGGTAGGTTTCATTGGTGGCTGCGTCTGTCACTAGGGAAAGCGACAGGGCATGGATAAAGGAGGCGATCACCTCTCTTAGCTCCTTGGGGCTAAAGGAAGGTAAAGAGAAGATTTGTCCAGGAAACAAAACACAAAGAGCTCCTTTCACAGTCTCACACTCAGCACTGGCGGGCTGCAGCGAGCAGACGGCGGCGGCACGCTGTCCCAAAGCACCCGAAGCCCGGGCCGGCCGGCACTCCTACACTGGCCTTCCCGCGGCTAGCCACCCGCACAGCACTCCGAAGAGCCGAACTCCCTGCAGCTTCGCAGAGGACAGCGCGCCTTTCCTTCTGACTTTATTTTCTCAAGACTTGAAAAAGTTCCCAATGGGCGTGACCTGGCCAGAACCAGTCCTCCACTGCCTGCCCCGGGTGGACACCAGAGGAAATGTGCGACCCTGATGGGACGCTGCGCGGCGCTTGCGGGTCGCTCAGGGAGCGGAGGGGACGCGGAGGGGAAGAAGCGAGGAGGGCGCGGGGAACTGAGGGGCAGAGAGGGCACTGAGAGGAGAAAGGGAGTAAGGAGGGGAGGAGGCAGTGGGAAAGAAGGGTGGCGCCAGTAGCTCAGAGGGTGTCTCCACCCCATGGGCCTGCCGCTGACCTGTCCCGCCCGGAGCGCCAGCTGCACTGCCGCCTCGAAACACTCCTCCCAGGGGTTCCCCGCGGCCGCCGCAGTCTCGTCTTCTGGGCATGGCTTCATTGCTGCCTCGGCCGGGCCTGGCCACCTCCAGCCTTTTCCTGGCTGGGGAACTGTGGGGGCGCTGAGGAGGATGGCAGCGGCGGAGGACGCAGGACCCCGATTTCCACCAGCTCCACCGCCCCGAAACCACGCTCCGAAACTTCGACGCCCGCCTCACAGCTGAGCTGGCAGAGAACAGTCCATGATCCGGTACAACCAGGAGAGCTCTGGCCGCGTCGCGCCTCCGCCCCTCCGCCCCGCCCAACCCCGCCAGCGCCTAGCGCGCTTCGGCCTGAAATATCCGCCTTGTTGCCTCCGTAGAGGCCTGTAGACTCCGCCCCGCCGGCACCTCCCGCCCCTCCACCCAGATACCAAGGCCCCGCCCCCGTTCTGAGGCCCCGCCCCTGTGCCTGCCCTGCGCGGAGACCCAGCCCTAGACAGTATATTCCTTGTGGCTAGGGAAGAGCGGCCTATCAGGGGCGCCACCGAAAAAGGTGGCGGTGAAGGTGTAAAGAACGTAAAGAAGCTGGTGGAGATCAGGGTGCCGCCGGATAGGTACGCGCGGCGGAGGCGATAGCTCCAGCTGAGCCCGGGAGGCGGATGGCGCATTACCTTGTGCTCGCAGCTTTGCGCTCAAGAGCCTTTCTCAATCTCCGGCTTTTGGTGCTGGGCGCTTTGCGGAAAGAAATTGGGGGACAGGGCTGTGGGCGTTAGGAGTAGCTCTGAGCGCAAAACACACACTCGGAGACGGCATGCACGAGGTGGTGTTATGCACTGCCGTACTCTGACTTTGATTACTCTCTAAAGGGAACCCTGAATTCTTTAACACTAGTGAAACTGTGGTTATGTCGTCAGAAGTGACCATTCCCTGGAGAGAGATATCATGCTTGGTAAAGTGGAGGGTCAATGAAAAAGGGAAAGGCCATCAATGAGATTGACACAGTGGCATGGGTATAAGATACAGTGATGGGTATAGCAAGGATTGTGAGGCTGGCACAGAACCTGGCAGTGTTTCTTTCTGTTGTTCCTAGGGTCGCTATGAGTTGGAGCCAACAGGACGGCACCTAACAACAACAGCATCACTGATGCTGTTGATGCAATAGTGATGCTGTTGTTGTTAGGTGCTGTGGAGTCAGACCCGACTTATAACTACCCTCCTTGGGTTTCCGAGGCAGTATCACTGTGGAAGTAGATTGTCCAGCCTTCCTTCAGAGAAGTGGCTGGTGGGCTTGAACCGCAGCCTTCTGGTTAGCAGTCAAGTGCCTTAGGCACTATGCTGCCAGAGCTCCTACAGTGATGCTAGCACCACCTAAACATAAATACAGGTACTTCTTAGAGTGACCGCATCGTGTCCAGTGGTGCAGTTCCATAAGCTGCTTGCCTCCCACTTTTGTAAAAGGAGCTGACCAAAGTACGATTGCTCTTGAAGACCATTCCACAGAGTCAGGGAAGACCAAGAACTGTAGGAATGTGCACAAGAACCAAGATGAGACACTTTTACACAGTTAACCTCATGATGGGTATTCTGGTTACCTAGTGCCACTCTGACAGGAATATACCACAAATGGGATGGCTTGAAGAAACAATTTATTCTCTTATAGTTTCTAGGCTTTAAGTCCAAGTTCAAAGTGCCAGGCTCTAGGAGCTGGGTGAAAGTGCCTTAGCCTTGGGCTTCAGCTTTGCCTCCTGCTTCCAGCCCACTGGAGGCTTTTCTTCACTCAGCTGCTGGCTGCTGAGGCTGACAAGCCCAAGGTTGACAAGTAAAATGGCACAGTCCCAATGTTACCAAACCACATGGCAGGCCATTCATTCAAGTCCACTGAAAGCCCCAAGGTCGGCAGAGCATGGCCGGCTGCTGAACAACGACTCAGCTACATGCAGAGTTCAAGCTAAAGACAGTTCTGAAAACTGTTTCTTATATACGGGAAGTAGACCACATCCCTAAAGCAGCTACTCAGCTGCTTGTGGTAGGTCCCACTATGGAGCTGATTGCCAGTCTCAACTACCACCAGCTGCCGAGCCACTCAACCAGGCCCAGCCAAGTTGACACACAAACTCAACCACCACTATGGGGTTAGACATTTTTAGTTTTAACCCATTAGTACTTTATGTTGAAAGACCTTGTGAGAAAACTTAAGTTGTAGGGTTAAAAAAAAGAAAAAGTCATGAGTAATTCCTACTCAATGGGAAGCAGATTTCCAGGCCTTTCTTCCATAGCACCACTGGGTGGGTTCTAGCCACCAATTTTTCATCTAGTAGTTGAGTGCAAACCATTGGAGACTTGGTATGAGAGACAAAAACTGCAAACAACAGGGAAAAAATTAGGACACCAGAGCTGAGTAACTTTTGGGAGACTCTATGTCCCTATGCTCAGCTGCTATTTATTCACTGAAAGGTTAAAGGTTCTAGTCCACCCACAGTTGCCAAATGGGTAGCAATTTCTATTTGGGAAAGATCAGCCTTGGAAAACCTTATGGAGCACAGTTCTATTCTGAATACACATGGGATCACCTTGCATTTGAGTCAACTAAATGGCAACTGGTTACTGGTAGTCTCACCCAGTCTCCTCATCCTACAGCTCAGAACACTAGACCAAGAATTACCGTAGGTCTAAAAACCAGTTTGTGGCTGCTAAGAGGATACTCCACTTTATCTTTTTGGGTTTTTTTTATACATTTTTTTTTTTCATGATTTTCAAGATAGGGAGTGAGACTTAAAAGAATTAAGACCATGCTCTGAATGCATTTTAAAATGAAATGCGTTCAGTTGTTGATCTGAGGCAGGTTTCTGTTGGTGATCACTTCTAATACCAGTGCCAAGAAGTTTTAGGAAGTAATGAAATTTCTCTTTGGCCTCTTCTTAATGCCCCTTTCTTAGCCCTTCTCCCCATAGGGTAACAGTCTTAGTTATCCAGTGCTGCAATGACAGAAATACCACAAATGGGTGGCTTTAACAAACAAATGTATTTTCTTACAATTTAGGAAGCTAGAAGTCCAAATTCAGGGTGCTGACTCTAGGGCAAGGCTTTCTCTCTGTGGGCTCTTGTCCTTCTGAGCCTCCACTCCTGGGCAATCTTCATGTTGCTTGGCATCTCTCTTCACCGTCTTTCCTTGATGCATTGCTTGTTTAATCTCTATTGTATCTTGTAAGAGATTGACTTAAAGCACACCCTGTACTAATCCTGTCTCTTTCACGTAATAAAAACAATGCATTTCCAAATAGGATTATAACCACAGGCATAGAGGTTAGGATTTTCAACACCTATTCTGGGGGGACACTATTCAATCCATAAGAGTAACCCAATTTGGTAGTTCAGTATATATTTAGATATACTCTTATTATGAATCTCAGCCAATTTGGACATCTAGAGAAAAGGACTTCATAACTTCCTTGCCTAACTTCCAAATATCTTAAGATAAAACAATGTGTTTTTTACCAGCATGCAGTTTGGAGCCAGCCAGATTTCCGTAAATTAAAATACTGTGAATTTGAACAAGTTACCAATTAGCTCTTTTGCCTCAGTTTCCTCATCTGTAAAATGGTAATTTGTAAATATTCCACGTATTAATATACATGTGCTTGGCACTTAATGTTTTTATTATTAAAAACTGTTACCTTGCTCATCAATGTAGCCTAATTAGCTTGTTGTTTGGCACATTATAAATATCTATTAAATCATTGAATACTGAAATCAGCTATTTCTAATAGAGAACACAAATCCTCGTGCTTTAATGACAATAACCTCTCACTAAATTAGCTCAAGCAAGTGTTTTCCAACAAATGTTCTGTATTTAAATACTGCCCAGCACTGTGCCTGGCTCAGTTCCAGGTGTCCTCACAGAGCCATGTTCCTTCAGAATGGTCTGTAAGCAAATAACAGCGTTATCTCTGCTGCTCATTTATATCTGCCGAAAAACTGGAGAATACACCCAAATTTTTCAGATTTAGGGGACAAGAACTGGATTAGTGTGGTCTTTCCTCTTCCTGCTGGGTGTAATAGTGTACCAGACACCTCCTTACAACCCCAGAGACCTGCTGGCTTTCAGACCTTTTCCAGGACACTCTGACTTCTTGGTTATGCTCTCCACCACTCTTCGTTGGGGTTTATCTGTAGTGTCTCCATTTACAGATCCTGGAGACTATGAACTTGTTCTTCAGTGATCACCTTTATTCCCTTAACCTCTACCTAAAAGCCCAGTAACTGAAGGGCTCATCCTCTAAAATAAATGTCCAGTATTTCAAACACAAAATTCTTCATGGTGACCCTTCTAGCTGAGTGGATGACACAGATATACAAAATGTAACTTTCCATTCCCCTATAACTGAACTTCTCCTTCTAGAGACCATCCTGCCTGAAAGCAGAAAACTGGATCTACTTACTCCCAGGATCACTCAGACATGCCAGTGATTTTTCAGACATCTCAGTTTTAAAAGTCTGTCAATTCAGTTCATGGATCCTAGAGGGATCCATGTAAAGGGGGCTTAGCCTTGGGAAAGCACCTTGATATTAGATCTGCCTCCCTCCTTCATGCAAATGCTGAGGTGTGACTTTTCCTGGCCAGGTGTGAGTAACCACTCCTCCACTTGGGCACAACCCTGCTAGCATCTCCTGAGTAGCCCAGCTCAGCCTGGTCCTTGGTCACTGACTAATGTCTTTGTCATAATCACAAGACTCCTTTGAGTTCATCTGCACCCCTCAGCCCCTCTGTCCCTCTCTCTCAGGGCACAGCCGCTTTAGAATACTCCCCTGGAGAAAGGTCTCAGGCTTTCTCCCCTGGACCTGTTCTACTCCGGCTTTCTGCTGCAAGCATCCCCCTGTGGGTATCCTGTGGAATGGGACCAGGAACAGCAATCTCCCAAGAGAAGTCTTCTTCCCCCACTCCCGTCTACCCAGGTTCCACATCACCCTCAATAGGCTTGAACTCCTCCTCTTTCTCAGCAGTGCTCCTCTTCCCTACCCTTTACCCCCACCCTGGCCAAGTGGCTCTTGGGGGTCGCGGGAGGAGGGAGGCAAGATCTCT